CCACAAGGGAAGCGAAAAGTAGTCAATAAAAACAGACTTATGCAGAAGTGTTGATGCAGAGGTAAAGGCAGCCGGTACGACATGGGTCGAGCTGAAGAGGATCGCCCGGAATCGCGTCCGTTAGAGAGGTGTTGTGGTGGCCCTATATTCCCAACGAATCAAGGGGCAAGAGAGAAATGGAAATGGGGATAGATTGACCACACACCCCGCAAACCTGCTTCTAGTGTCACCAATCAGGTCCTTGACTGGAATCCACAAGGGAAGCGAAAAGTGAGTCAACCAAAACAGACTTGGCGCAGAAGTGTTGATGCAGAGGTAAAAGGCAGCCGGTACGACATGGGTCGAGCTGAAGAGGATCGCCCGGAATCGCGTCCGTTAGAGAGGTGTTGTGGTGGCCCTATATTCCCCAACGAATCAAGGGCAAAGAGAGAAATGGAAATGGGGATAGATCGACCACACACCCCGCAAACCTGCTTCTAGTGTCACCAATCAGGTCCTTGACTGGAATCCACAAGGGAAGCAAAAAGTGAGTCGACCAAAACAGACGTCCGTTGGAGAGGTGTTGCTGCGGCCCTATGTTCCTCAACGAATCAAGGGGCAAGAGAGAAATGGAAATAGGGATGAATCGGACACATACTCCGCAAGCCTGCTTCTAGTAACACCAGGCAAACCCTTGACTGGAATCTACAAAGGAAGTGAAAAGTGGGTCGACCAAAACCGACTCGGCGCAGAAGCGTTGACGCGGTGAAGGCAGCCGGCATGAAATGGGCTGAGCTGAAGAGGATCGCCCGGAACCGCGTCAGTTGGAGAGGTGTTGTTGCGGCCCTAAGTACCCCATGGAGTCAAGAACATCAGAAAGAAGAATTTATTTACTATCCGTATGCAGGCGGTTTCATCCCAGTCCTGGATTATGATAATATCTTTCCTGAAAAAATAATGTTTACTGACGGTTCGATAGTTCTTTGGGTTGCACTTTTACAGGGAGAGATGGATTACGGTCATATCACGTTGAAACACCGCTGAGTCTGATCAGTAGTCTGATGGGTGGCCGCTTGGGAGTACCAGGTGCTGTTATCTTAGATGCGAGCACGCTGTAATGGATAAAAAACAGTTCTTTATAAATATCAGTAGTTTGAGAAGATAAGAAAATTCCCAAATGAGAAAATCAGAGACATCATTTCAAATTCCAGTGGTGTTCGCTACGTTCAGTTCAGTTATACGAAATTACCCTTGAGAATTATGTGAATCCAAATCTTGCCCCGCCCCGGCTATAGGTTAATTAATAGGACTTTTATCTGCAAATCATTATTATCTACAAAAGATTGTTAATAAAATTTCCACTCGCAAAAAAGTGAAGAAGTATTGTTCGTACAATGCAAACATATATTTAAATAACCTGTAAAAGGTTGATAAGCCGTAAAAAATTAATCAATGAATTTCCAGGGAATGAATACTGATCGAAAGTCGGGGACAACGACGTCAGTACTAAAAAAGGGAGAAATTATAGCAGGTATATTGACTCCGATATAAAGCCGTACAGGAAAATTAGATAGAAAAGAGCTATCGTGACAAATACTCTCAGGTGCTTTCGAACGAAGGAGATCATGTCTCTCCAAAGATTTATTTATTACCTATGGGTTATTTCATTAGGAACGACATAAGAATTGTGTCCCGTTGTCGTCTCGACGCTTCGGAATTCAGAATAGTCCTTCTCCTAGATGGGTTACCAGACAAGGCTTAAGAGTCATGCATATCCTGCTATTTACTCCATAGTTAGAGGGACAAGAGTCGGATTCATGTTTTCTTCCCTCCCCATGGATATTTGTGTAATCTAGAACGTAACAGAGAAGGTCGGAAATTGAGCTTGGCCGACCATTTCACTTTTCAAACAGATAGCCACTTTGCTAGCTGCATATTCTAGAGACAGCACTGATGAGAATATTCAAAAGAATTTCATCACAGGAAAAGATGAAATAAAGAGAGAAATGAGTAAAGAGAGAAAAAAAACAAACTTATCTCTGAAATTCAGACAATACGATTTGTGTAACGATGTAGCAAAAGACAATAAAAATAATAAGAATAGTTCGAAATATCTACGGAATAATAAAAAAAAAAAACATCTCTTTTCAAATTTTATTATTATGTCAATATTTTCACAATAAAATTGGCCTTAATCAATACCTTATTTGATCGTATATGATTTTATGGTTAAACTCAGGAGTCGTTCTTCATTATAGATTTATAACAGATTTATAATCGATTTATAATCCAGCGTTCTTTAGCATTTATTTAAAAAAAAAAAATCCTCAATACACTGTAGAGAATAATAATATAATTATTTTTATGGTTAAACTCAGGAGTCGTTCTTCATTATAGATTTATAACAGATTTATAATCGATTTATAATCCAGCGTTCTTTAGCATTTATTTAAAAAAAAAAATCCTCAATACACTGTAGAGAATAATAATATAATTATTTTTATGGTTAAACTCAGGAGTCGTTCTTCATTATAGATTTATAACAGATTTATAATCGATTTATAATCCAGCGTTCTTTCGCATTTATTTAAAAAAAAAAAATCCTCAATACACTGTAGAGAATAATAATATAATTATTTTTTTCGAAAATAAGTTTCCATCGCGGCACAGAAATTACTATGTTTCGAAACCAAAACTTAAATCTTAAATTAAAATTAAAATTAAAATCTGAACTTTCGTTCCATTTTCAATCGATGCTGAGAATAAACTTTAAAAAAAAAAAAACTGATTTATTCTATTTATAAGCCAAATAATATTATATATTGTAAGTTGGTTGGGTTAATGAGAATTCAGAATTTTTTTTTATTAAGGGGGTGTTGGCTTTTTGACGAATGAAGATACACGTATATTTTTATGTAGGAAATTGAAAAGTCGGTTAAGGTTAGGTGGGGGTTAGCGATTTCTGTCTGTTGATACTGACTTCCTTTGATGCGGCCTTGTCATCAAGGTCTCGTTTTTTATTTTATATTGAGTTACAATACAATACATTTGATATTTATTTTTTTATTAATTTTCTTGCATTCTGAAACTGCATCGAGATTTTCTTAAAGGAATTTTCAAATATAATTAAGTCATATTATTTATATTTATATTTTAATTTATAAACTTCTAAAATACTATATTTATATTATTTACTAACAAAATTATATTTGGCATTGTAAAATTAAAATATTAGAATTTAATTACGCGTTTATAAATTTATTTATTTATATTTTAATGTATAAAGTTTTAAAATTAAAATATGAATAAATAAAATCTCGATGTAGTCTCAGAATGCAAGAAAATTAATTAAAATATAAATAAATATAAATGCCAAATATATTGTAGTAATTTTAAGCTGAAGACACTGATTAAAAATAATTCAGTTCACACGACACGTGACAAAGCAGATATACTCCACATCTCTCATATGAGGGTTGTAGAAGACATTACAAAAGCTCGGCTGAGCATTGCGAGATAGGAACATTTCTTTGGTAACAAAGAAAAGAATACTGAGCTGCTACGGGACATCCCTCCTCCTTTATGGCAGCGAATGTTGGATGGTCTCCTCAAAGATGAAAAGAGACTGGAGGCAACAGGAGGATGCTAAGCATATCATGGACCAAGTGTGTGAGCAACGATGAGGTTTTGGAAAGGATACAAACAAGGTGGAAACTTATACTTAACATCAGAAAGAGGCAAATTAAATTTCTGGGACACTTATTGAGAAAGGAGGGCTTGGAGAATCTGATACTCACAGGTCGAATAGAGGGAAAGAAAGACAAGGGAAAACAACGCGTGATATACCTAGCGGGCTTATGCAAGTGGATGACGGAACATAGTCTGGGGGAGGTGGCAGAGGGACGAGCTACAAGGGATAGGGTGAAGTGGAGAGCCATGATCTTCTATGTCCTGAAGGGATATGGTACATGAAGAAGAAGATGTTTGAAAATGGATACGTGAATCACTACGATGTTTAAGTACCTCTTGATAAATGAGAAACATTTACGTACCGCATTTCCATATTTTTTAAGTTTATAGTAACCCACCGTGGAATTTCCACAGTTTATGTTTGTATATAGTAAAATTTCGCTAAAGCCGTATATGATAAAATGCTGAATGTGAATATATTGAGAGCTTTTCAGGTTTTGTTTGTTTGACTTAAAGTTATGCATCAGATATCGGTCGCCGGGAAAATGACTTGTCAGTTTACGGAAAAATTTATCATTCTGCTGTTCACTTAGTTTACTTAATGTCCGCTTCGTGGCGTGCTTGTCTAATCGAATTGATTGGCTGCCGACAGCCTCTTGAGACCCCCGCCATTTACACGCCAAATATTTTTCACTTTCTTCTTGTTAAACAATGTTTCAGTTTTATCATTTTATGATCGTCTGTGTAAACAATTTTTTTTTTTACTTTATAAAAGAAAGATCTCGTGTTAGACAGGCAATAATTAGTCTTTATACTCCGGGAAATATTGAAAGAGAAAAAAAGGTCTTTGCTTTCAGGAAAAAAACAATTACAAACGATTTGAACTAGCAGGGACATCAATATGTCCGTAACGTAATAAAAAAATAAGTATTTATTTTTCAACGTAAGTACTTTTCTTGTTAATGCATTTAACCCAAAGTGTTTTCGATAACTGAATGGTTTAACTCTTTGAGCGGTAACCACCGCTTTACCGGTGGTAGAGAAAAATGACGTAATGACCAGCCACCGGTTGAAGAGTGCTAGAGAAAAATGGCTTAATGCCCAGCCACTTTTACCTATTTTTATATCTATCGTGAAACATTACATACCAATTATTTGCGAATTTTGACTCAGGATCCCAGGCAGAAGCGTTAAAATTGTTCAGGAGTGCAAGCCACAAAGGGTTAAATATTGTAGAGTGAAAGTTTCTTAGCCATACAATATGTGGCATGCTTCTGAGTTATTCCTGCCTTTTGTATATGAAAGTATAATTTAAAATGACGAGCTAAAATCTATATTGGCGTTTTAAAAAGAACACATGGGAAACGAATGGAAGGATGGATGGGAGGACGGGAGGGCGGGATGGAGAGAAGGAAGGACAGGAAGGAAGGAGCGAGGAAGGAAAGGAGAAAGGAAGGAAGGAAGGAAATAAAGAAAAAAGAAAGAAAGGAAGGAATGAAGGAAGGAAGAAGAGGAGGAAAGAAGAAAGAAAGGGAGGAGGAGAAGAAAGAAGGAAGGAAAGGAAGAAATGAACGAAGGAAGTAAAGAAGGAAGGAAGGGATGAAAGGAAAGGAAAGAATGAAGGAAGGAAGCGAAGGAGGAAGGAAAGTGAAGGAAGGAAGGAAAGAACCAAGGAAAAAAGGAAAGGGAAGGAAAAGAAGGAATGAAGGAAGAGAAGGTGGAAGGAAGAAAAGGAAAGGAAGGAAGGAAATGAAAGGAAGGAAGGAAGTGAAGGAGGAAAAAAGAAAAGAAGAACGGACGGAAGGAAGGAAGGAAGGAAGAAAAAAAGGCAGGAATGAAGCAAGCAAGGAAGGAAACGTAAGGAAAGGAAGGAAGTAATGAAGGAAGGAAGCTAAGGTGGAAGGAAGGAAAGAAGGGAGAAATGAAGTAAACAAAGGAAGGGAGGAAACAAGGAAGGAAGGGAGGGAGGGATCAAGGAAGTGAGGAGGGATGGAGGAAGTCAGGAAAGAAGGAAGGAAAGGAATGGAGCAAGGAAGGGAGGAATGAAGTAATGAAGAAAGGAAGGAATGAAGGAAGGAAAGGAAGAAAGAAAAGGAAGGAAAGAAAGGTAAGGAAAGGAAGGAAGGAATGAAGGAAGGAAGGCAGGAAAGAATCAAAGAAGAGAGTGAGGGAAGGAAGGAAGGAAGGAAGGAAGGATAGGCAGGAAGGAAGGAAAGGTAAGGAAAGGAAGGAAGGGAGGAAGGAAGGAAGCGGTGGAAGGAAGGAAAGAAGGAAGAAATGAAGGAAGGAAGTGAAGGAAGGAAGGGAAGGAAGGAAGGCAGGCAGGAAGGAATCAAAGAAGAGAGTGAGGGAAGGAAGGAAGGAAGGAAGGAAGGAAGGAAGGAAGGAAGGGAGCGAAGGAGGGAGGGAAAAAGAAAAGAAGGAAATCTGGGTGGAGCGAAGGAAGGAAGAGAGGAAGAAAGAAAGGGAGGAAATTTTAAAGTCACCAAAACGAAACAGCTCTCTTTTAATCATGATAGAAAATTATTTTGGCCTCCTATCAGTATGGCTGATGCTAACCCCCAGGAGAGCAAATCACTGCGTTTTTTCGCTCTCCAGCTTTCGACTGATATGAAGTGGAACGATTATATTGAATCAATTGTTAGTTCTGTTCCTAAGAAATTTTCTTCACTTTTTCGTACAAAAACAATTTTCCTGATTAGAATCCATTTTTTAGATTTATATATCTAAAATATACCATTCGTTCGTACATTGAATATTACTGCCATATTTGTCCTGTGTCTCCTGTAATTTATTTCGAGATTCTAGACAAAATCCAAAGAAGTGTTTGTAATGTTATCGATCCTGGCCTGAAAACTCGATTTCACTCACTTTCCCACCATAGTGAGGTGGCTTCCCTCTGTCTTTTCTACAAATATTTTCATGCCAATTGTTTTAATCAATTTTACACACCTTACCCGCAGGTATCTAATTGTACTACTAGATGGTCAACTAGGTCGAATAGTTTTACTACTGAAATAGCTAAATATTACAGTAAGTACTATTCTAATTATTTTTCTCACACTTCTCGACTGTGGAAATCTAATCTGGTTTCTTTCTTTCCTACCACCTCCGATATTCAAACTTTAAATGCAAAATCAATCGCCTTTTTCTGTCTTCTATAAACCTGTCCTTTCATTGATCTTTCTGCTCACTGAAGTTTTTTATTGTCTTTGAATTTCGGTAGCAACTGGTGTCTTAGTGGCATTATCGCCTTGATTAGCATGAAAGGATAAAGACATAGTATATACGAAAGTTACTTTAATCTAACGAAAGTTGATAAATGAGATTAACTTAAGAAAAATGTAAGTAAAATCCTTACAAATACGAAAAGGAAGTAAAAAAAGAAATTAAGAAAAATCATTAGGAAAAAAAAAGAAAAAAAAAGAAAAAGCATAAGAAACTAAGAAAACGAATGAGAGAATGAACAAAAATAAATGAAGAAAGAAAGAAAGAAAGAAATAAAGAAAGAAAGAAAAGATAAGAAAAGAAACATGATTCGTAAGTAAAAAAATATAGAAAAGAAAATATAAATATAAATGAATAACGGAAGAAAGAAAAATTTGAAGAGAGAAGGAAACGGAAGAAAGAAAGAGAGAAGAGAGAAAAGAAAATAAAAGGAAAGATTTGTTGAAAAGAAGTAAAAAATCATTAGAAAGACAAAAATTATAATTTATAAAAGACAGAAAGAACATAATAAAGAAAGAAAGAAAGAAAGAAAGATCATTAGAAAGAAAGAATGAAAGAAAGAAAGGAAGGAAGAAAGAAAGATCATTAGAAAGAAAGAAAGAAAGAGAGAGAGAAAGAAAAGTGTTAACTTATAAAAAGAAAAATTTAAAATTAATAGAAACATACAAAAATTACTTTTAATCTACTTAAAGATGACAGCTGACGATAAGACCCAATATGTAAGCAATGCTACATTTTACTTAAACATACCTGTTTTGAAATGTATCATTTTATTGTCATAAATTAACCATCTTATCGTCAGAATTAGCTGTCACACTTTTTGAAATTTATCAGATTTTTATCAGTGAATTTAACGCTTTGTATGGGGCATTAACTCTTGCTGTTTCTTTCCCACCGCAAAAAAAACATTACTATCATCCATACTATATATATATATATATATATATATATATATATATATTCATTTTTTATGAAATGGGTTAAGTTCAACAATTATTTTAAGATATTTTCTGTTTATGTACGTGTTTTTTTTTTATCGATACACATAATTAAATACATTCTCTATTTGTGATAGAAGGTATTAACTACCTCTGCCGGCCTGAATGTCATAGAAAATATGTGTCTTCCGACGGGAATCGAACTTGTATCCTACACAGAACCGTCATATAGCCTGACGTGCTATACCATATAGTTACAGACTAAGTATCAGGCTAGCAAAGTCAAATGACTCTTTTTAATCAAGGGAAATTTGTTAAAAATTCCTATGTATATCATATGAAGAAGGCCGGAGTGTACGGAACGCCGTTAATATGGCAATAAAGATGAGGACAACAATCCGAACAATGTAAATAGTGCAAATAGTTTGAATACCTCATCTCAGAAATATAGACAGATTCTGAAGAAGGCCGGAGCGCGAAACGGTTGAAAAGTCGGGAATATGGCAATAAAGATGAAGACAACAATCCGAACAATGTAAATAGTGTAAATAGTTTGAATACCTCATCTCAGAAATATAGACAGATTCTGAAGAAGGCCGGAGCGTTAAACGGTTGAAAAGTCGGGAAGATGGCAATAAAGATGAAGACAACAATCCGAACAATGTAAATAGTGTAAATAGTTTGAATACCTCATCTCAGAAATATAGACAGATTCTGAAGAAGGTCGGAGCGTTAAACGGTTGAAAAGTCGGGAATATGGCAATAAAGATGAAGACAACAATCCGAACAATGTAAATAGTGTAAATAGTTTGAATATTTCATCTCAGAAATATAGACAGATTCTGAAGAAGTTCCGGAGCGTTAAACGGTTGAAAAGTCGGGAATATGGCAATAAAGATGAAGACAACAATCCGAACAATGTAAATAGTGTAAATAGTTTGAATACCTCATCTCAGAAATATAGACAGATTCTGTTAAACGTTTGAAAAGTCGGGAATATGGCAATAAAGATGAAGACAACAATCCGAACAATGTAAATAGTGTAAATAGTTTGAATACCTCATCTCAGAAATATAGACAGATTCTGAAGAAGGCCGGAGCGTTAAATGGTTGAAAAAGTCAGGAATATGGCAATAAAGATGAAGACAACAATCCGAACAATGTAAATAGTGTAAATAGTTTGAATACCTCATCTCAGAAATATAGACAGATTCTGAAGAAGGCCGGAGCGTTAAACGGTTGAAAAGTCGGGAATATGGCAATAAAGATGAAGACAACAATCCGAACAATGTAAATAGTGTAAATAGTTTGAATACCTCATCTCAGAAATATAGACAGATTCTGAAGAAGGCCGGAGCGTTAAACGGTTGAAAATCAGGAATATGGCAATAAAAGATGAAGACAACAATCCGAACAATGTAAATAGTGTAAATAGTTTGAATACCTCATCTCAGAAATATAGACAGATTCTGAAGAAGGCCGGAGCGTTAAATGGTTGAAAAGTCGGGAATATGGCAATAAAGATGAAGACAACAATCCGAACAATGTAAATAGTGTAAATAGTTTGAATACCTCATCTCAGAAATATAGACAGATTCTGAAGAAGGCCGGAGCGTTAAACGGTTGAAAAGTCGGGAATATGGCAATAAAGATGAAGACAACAATCGAACAATGTAAATAGTGTAAATAGTTTGAATACCTCATCTCAGAAATATAGACAGATTCTGAAGAAGGCCGGAGCGTTAAAAGTTTGAAAAGTCAGGTGAATATGGCAATAAAGATGAAGACAACAGTCCAAACAATGTAAATAGTGTAAATAGTTTGAATACCTCATCTCAGAAATATAGACAGATTCTGAAGAAGGCCGGAACAATGAAAAGTCGGGAATATGACAATAAAGATGAAGACAACAGTCCGAACAATGTAAATAGTGTAAATAGTTTGAATACCTCATCTCAGAAATATAGACAGATTCTGAAGAAGGCCGGAGCGTTAAACGGTTGAAAAGGGAATATGGCAATAAAGATGAGGACAACAATCTGAACAATGTAAATAGTGTAAATAGTTTGAATACCTCATCTCAGAAATATAGACAAATTCTGAAGAAGGCCGGAGCGTTAAACGGTTGAAAAGTCGTGAATACAATAATAAAGATGAAGACAACAATCCGAACAATGTAAATAGTGTAAATAGTTTGAATACCTCATCTCAGAAATATAGACAGATTCTGAAGAAGGCCGGAGCGTTAAATGGTTTGAAAAGTTTCGGGAATATGGCAATAAAGATGAAGACAACAATCGAACAATGTAAATAGTGTAAATAGTTTGAATACCTCATCTCAGAAATATAGACAGATTCTGAAGAAGGCCGGAGCGTTAAACGGTTGAAAAGTCGGGAATATGGCAATAAAGATGAAGACAACAATCCGAACAATGTAAATAGTGTAAATAGTTACAATACTTCATCACAGAAATACAGCCATATATACTTAACCTATATTTTAGGAAATTCAATAACAAAGTGGGAAAAAATTCATGTGATGCATTTCAGACTTTAGAACTTCATCGGACTAAAGTGATGTTCACGTTGATGTGATTATACATCTTCAAAAATGTGCAGTGACGCTGAAATTATAAATTTAAATGTTTGAATTTTTTATATACGTGTTTTGCCTGGCCGATTTCATTTAGCTTTTCTTTGTGTCTATGTTATTATCACTTTTGTTATTAAATATCCAACAGTGTGATAAAAGATGTTCTGTCAAGAAAGGTGCTATTTTGTAAGAACGTGGACGTAAAATTACTGTGAATGATCTAGCGATTAAAGCACTTTCTATACATTATCGTCTAAGTAAATAGATTTCCTTTTTAATTAAAGTAATATTTTTAAATCAAAATTACGATCAGATTCATTATGTTCATCTATTTGAATTTCTTGATGTTTCACCTATGTAATCTTTGTGGCAATTATTACAGTGATAGATTAAATTCTTGTTTCAAGTTTTAGCTCATTATTTTTGCATTAATTATGTTATTGTTTTAGAACTAGTTGTAACAAATTTTTTGATAAGCTTAGATATATTCTTTTCAATTGTATTTGCGATAAAATTGATCTGTGGAATAATATATTTTGTTTTTTGTAGGATGTGTCAGAATGTTCCACTCTTCTATTTTGAAATATTTTACGAGCCTTCTGTATTCCGTATATCATAGCTGATTCCATAATTCTTCTAGAAGGTTTATGATGAATATATTTGACTATTTAAAATCGAAAGAATTGCACATTATAGAATAAAGAATTTCGTGCAACCTCAGTTTTTATAGCTCTTTTTGTCCAGGTCAATATTTATAACGTTTGAAAGAGTAGATAGGTTCACCTATCGTCCGGTTCACACTCCTTCCCTTCTTTTAAACAGGAGTAGAAGTTTTTCTCTTGTTACCTGTTTTAGGATTGGATTTTTGGTTTTTTCTAAAGATTTTTCATTCTCTTTCCCTTCCCGTGTCCCTTATGGCTTGGTGGCATTATCATCTTTCTTCGGTGTGGTGCCCCTTACTCTGTAACCCTCCACCTTGAGTGGCTTTTGAGCCTTGTACAGGGTGAACATCATTGTAAAAAAGACATAATGGAAGACTAAAAGCTGGATTTTGATGAAATGAAAGAATATCATCAAGAATATCGTAGATAAGTGTGAAACTCAGGTGACAATCTATACTGAAATAAATAACTTTCTTCTGTGTTCGTGTTCCTTTCTGTACATGGGCGATCATGGGTTTCCACAGCTTCCTGTCTTTTTGGAGATGTTAGTAACGTTGGTGTTTTTGCTATCTCTTCTCATCCATATACTGCCAACCAGTTACACAAGCTCTTTAGGTAGTTTATTTTTTGCTTTCCTCTCTCTTGTTTTCAGTATGTCATTTGAGTGTCAAATTCTCCAAACCTTCTTTCCTAATTATGTACCCTAGAAATTTCAGCTTGTTGTTCATGATGACGGTCGTCTTTGAGTATAGAATCCGCAGGTTAGCAGTGAATCTAACTGTTCCTTTTCGCCTGACAAGTTGGCACTGGGCATTCGGACAGACGAATACACGACGGATTGAATATTTTACGTCTTCTGATTGGTTAACCTTCTATTGGTTTATATAAAGTGAGTCAAGTCAGTTGGGCTAGCTCACTAGTACATATATAGACAAAAAACTGTAACACAGCTTTCTGATTCTAAGTATAGAATGTCGTTTTTTTTTTCCTTCTTTTTACTTTAAACTTTCTTCTTACACACCTGTTCAGTCGCATCCAAAGTATGACGATAAACTACGTCCAGCAGCCAGGCCTCTGATCAGGAGGTTTTGTGGAACGTGGAACCACCTATTAATTGCTGATGTTCCTAGGTTCACCTGACCTGGGGTGGTAGCACCTGTTATCGTCCCAGTTATGGACAAATAGTTAACCCCAAAACTGCGGTCAAAACACTATGAAAGAGTAAAAATAGGTTTTAATACTAGAAATACATTTTTGTAAGCCGTCCTGGGTATGACAATAAACTACAGCTGCCTCTTGGGTAAGATGATAAACTACATCCAGCACCAATGCCTCTGATGAGGAGATTTTGAGGAGTGTAAAACCACCTCTTAATTGCTGGTGTTCCCAGGTCCACCCTGACCTGGGGTGGTAGCACCTGTTAGGGCCCCAACTATGGGAAAATCGTTAACCCCCCCCCAAACTGGGGTCAAAACACTAGAACATATAAAAATAAATTTTTATATTAAAAATACCATAGATTAAAAAAAGATATTACCAGCTATACATTTGACTCTCGAGGAAAACCCTCTTTACA